TAGTATGTACTGTTTAAAAGTTCTAAGTATAAGATGGTGGTTTGGTTTGAAAATACTGTATGTAAATTGTGGTCCTATCCACATGAAATATACCCACAAGTTACCACAATGATCAATTTCTGTGGAAATCCATAATATGATTACATTAGATACATTTGTGACCCCTATTATGGTTAAGTAAAGATAGTTTCTTTGTTTCACTGTTCGGAACATTTAAATGTTTTCTTTTCTCCTCAGAGGATGGAGAATTGAATAATTGGCAGCTTTAATACAGCGCCTGTCTGTAGTATGTCCTTCAGAGAGAACAATATATCTTGATTGGAGGTTAGGACCCAAGGACAACATGACATCTTGCACATCCACCGGTTTCTCGAACAGATACCCAAACCCTTACAACACTACTACCGTCTCGTTTAATTTGAGAGTTTTGAAGACTAACCACAGTAAGCATTGACCAGCGTGGCATGAATACCTAAAACACGTCTCCTTTTGAGCACACAGACAGTCGTATCATTAGGCCTGATCTGAAGCAGTGACAGTTGAGGATCAAAAGTGCCTCTTTCCACATCACCAGTTTGTCTGCTTAAACTTATTGTGCCGCGTGACTTAAGTAAACATGTTGAAACTAATTTATATTCATGATTCAGTCCTGTCACCGGCTGCTTCTTTAACGTCATCTCCCACTACATTCGCCCTGATAAACGCCCATATCCTTTTAGCCCTAAAGATATAAGCGTGTCGTGTGTGTGACTACCTTCTTTCATTTTTCATTCCCTTATGTAAACAGCGCATGTGGCGGAGGAATATCACTGCTTCTCAGATACGATACCAGACGAGAATTTTCTTTCATGCCAAGATTTCCACAAACTCTTAACGAGTGTGACACGCGCTGAGCCGCTCGCAGACAGTGAGAGCCGAGACACCTTTGATGAAACTCGCTAAAACGCTTTGATGTAGTGTAGGTTTATGAGACTGATTCTAGATGCTTTGTGCTTTCTGCGGACGATTCCAGCCAAATTAAAAATGGCACCTGCACACCTCCTCATTCCTAAACAATCAACGAGCCCTGTTTCCTCTTGTTTGTCGAGCGCACAACACATTTGTTCCATTATGTACTGTGCCGTGTGGGGGTTGAGGAAAATGGACTAGTGGCAAAGAGAGAAACGCAATGATGACTGTTGATGAATGAATCAAAACAAAAGTCCCACATAAATTACATTTTCTTTTTATTTGCAAAAGCATAGCAAACAACAACCTGATCAAGCTATTTTTTGCTGCAGCGATATGCAATTGCACTTACCCAAGGACACACTTCATAAGACAAAAAATAAATGACATTCAGATTTGTGGAATTGAGCTCTTGCAGAAGAAGTTTCAAAAGTAATCTAGTCCAGGTTTTCACCATTGTGACGTTTTGACTCCCATCCAGAAGTCATTATCAAATGCAAATGGTGGGATTATATCTGGTCTATATCATTATTTGCTATTTAAGTGTACTGGTATGTGGACAAAAGTTTTGGCACACCTAGAACCGAGATCACCAGATGTAGCTGTACTGCGAACTGGCACTTTACCCATAACTACACCACAGAAAGATATTATGTGAACAAATCTGCAACATCTTCTTAAAAGCAGTGTATCATTTGCAAACTCAGAGCCCTGACAGTCACATTTCAGGTTGAGAGCTTATTTGCGGAGTACAACTGATGGTACCAAAACAGTTTTGCAAAACCGTCACTTGCATTTTTTAAAAGTATTTTTCATACAAAAATATGTAAAAGAGAGGACTTTTTCCTATTTCTCTGATGGTACCAAACTGTTTTGAGAATGAAGAGAATAGATGGATTTAAATACATATAGTTATTTTTGATTGTTTTGTATTAGCTTCACCAGATGTAATTCTTTTAGTATCCAATATTCAATGTTTCTGTGTTCCCTTTATTTAACAATTAATGAGAGCTTTTCAACTATGCTTATAACGTTTCTAACCAGAATATGAATTGCTATGAAGTTGTTTGCCTCCACAAAGTCGGACAGCTCTTGTGTATGGTCTCAGCGTGTGTATTTTTCAGGTGGACGATGTGATGAAGCCACTACAGTTGCCGCCTCCTTCCTATATCTGAACCAGGTGTCCAGCTCTAATCTCTTTATGAGCGATATGCTGTTTTTAATGAAAGCCCTCGCAGCTCCACACAATCAGCCGGCCATATCAGAGCTTATATTTCATCCTGCTATTGTGATGTCATCAGAGGGCGCGGGCATAATACATAATTCGCTATGTTATGACAAACCGTGGCCCCAGGCTCCGAGAGGTATATGAATGCTTTTGGGCCCATGTCAAGTCCATGCCATTTGTACTGGAATAATCGCTGTGGGCGCGGAGCTGCGTCATATGAAATAAGGGCCGACACCGAACAACAAATAGGTCAGGGCTATTTGAATACAACGCAGGAGAGAGGTTTATTGTGAGATCGTCTTATCCACTTTTATCACAACGTGTTACATTAAGTTCTTATTCAAATCTTCCGTGGACGTGTGTGATACTGTATCTTCATTATAGAAAGGAGGAACAGAATCAGAGGCAAGTACAAGGTGATAACTCTGACTGAAATTTTGGATCCTTCTATCAAAATGTATATAATAAAGACAAGACCTACTCTGGACAAATGAAAACATATTGATTAGCTTGCATTTATTTGTGAATGTATTAAATAAATCATGTTGATCTGAAAACCAGATTGGCCAATGGGGCATGCCTAAAAACAAATTCCTACTTCAAATGAGTCACACAAAAATAAATGTTTTCCTCCTTGAATTAGGACATGTTTGCTTGATACTCAAATTTGACTCGATAAATAAAAAAATCTTGATTCCCTTAGTACCATATATTTTATCATTTCTTGCAGGGTGTCATTAACCAGAAGCAATAATACACAATAATCGTCACTTTATCTCCTACTTATTCAATTTTTATCCTTATGCTGCTAAACTCCAGCTATGATTTTAGCTTGAGATTTCAGAACATTGAAGTTACTCTCTAAACATTACAGATATTTATCCTGTTGTTTAACTAAGTGCGCCTTTTATTCCTATTGTTCTGTAATGTGCCGCAACAACTCTTTATCGATATTTACCGATATAGATATGATAGGGATAATATGGGATTATATCAGATCTTCTATTGAAACCGATGAAATAATATCTATTATTTTCAATGATCAATCTTGAAATTAGATTGTATATGGTTCAACTGCCCGACATGGCCCACCTGCTCGTTCCCATAAACTTTTCTTCGAACTGCAGTCGATGACATTACTGGGTTGTTGTGTTTGTCATAAGTTTTATATGTGGTCCCTTTCTCATGTGAGGCTTGAATCAGCCGACGTTGCACATGGTATCCTCTGTAGTCCTGCTGTAAAAGTATCCCTATTCATCTCCCCTGTATCACCTGAATCTGGTATAAACAAGTCCAGATGGCGTCTCTCCAGGAGCAGCCCAGCCTCCTCTTTCCTCTCAGCCCAAAAATCTTTATCTGCTACATGATGCATGAAAGCGCACTGTCTTCTCATACAACTTTACTGCACCTCTGACCCCTGTGCACAGATGCAATATGACCCGCGCTGCCACCATCCATTTTGGTCCGGGCTCGAGATTCAATGAATTTTTATTATGCTGCATGTGCTTGTCACTCGCTTTGTTTTTGATCGTCATCGCTGAAATATATGTACTGAGTAAAGACTGGGGAGAGATGCGTGTCTGGTGCCCAAGGGTTTTATGTGTTATGATTTTGCCACTGAAAAGTAATGGGGTTGGCAATACTCATCTCTTTCTCTGACATTTTGTATTATTTCATGTTTAAACAAAAGTCAAATCTGTTCAAACTAGATTTATCTTTCACATGACAACGTAAATACGAGTCCAGGCTGTGTGTGAAACCCATGGACTTGAATACAATTTCTTGACGGGTGCTGGAGCAGTAGTTTCTCTTTTTTATTGTAGAACTATATCAAATCATTGAATCTTCGACACCCTAACCCCTAGAGCCACTTGTTCAAGAGAATACTTATTATAAAAAAATAGTTTCTCCGTGACACCACGTAAATGTTTTCATTAATCCACTTTTACACCGTGGAATAGGTCTGTAGCTAATGAAATCCATCGCCAATAAATGGTATTGACAATTGATGAATAATACAATTCTCTTAATAAGTGGCAATTGCTCTAAAACTAAGAAAATGCAGCCAATCTTTATTTTGTTAGAGCTCTACCAAGGGTGCCGTAAGGGAATTGTACACAGCTGTTGATCTTCAGAGCTGATGACGTAGCACACATTCCTCCTTCAATGTGTTTATGTGAACAGCAGAGTGTCTGAGAACTCTCTCCTCTCTACTCTAAAAGTCATAAAGCCGATACACATATCAAAACAAACTGAATTATGTATAATTTCCATCATATATAAGAAAATTATCTGGATGACATGTACAAAGCCAGCAGTGTTCATTGTACAGTCTGACAGCAGATGAACGACACATGTACACGGTCAGAGATCATATGTTTCAGTCCTGTGTGTTCTCCCTCTTGATTAAAGACGTTGTGATCGTAGCTGTACTGTTGATGTGAGTTGCTCAAGTGCCTCTCCTGTTCCTCTCCTGGAGAGAGGAGAGAGGGAACAGGATGAGGAGGATCTCTCAACCCTGATCCCTCTCTCCTCTTTCCTCTCTGCTCTTTCCTCTCTGCTCTCTCCTCTTCCCTCTCTCCTGATCCCTCTCTCCTCTTTCCTCTCTGCTCTCTCCTCTTCCCTCTCTCCTGATCCCTCTCTGCTCTTCCCTATCTCCTCTTCCGTCTCTCATCTCTCATGTTCCCTTGCTCCTCTCTTCCCTCTCTCCTCTTCCCTCTCTCTTCTCTCCTCTTTGCTCGCTCCTCTTCTCTCTCTCCTGTCCCCTCTCTCCTCTTCCCTCTCCTGTTCCCTCTCTCCTCTCTTTTATCTCTTCTTCCCTCTCTCATCTCTCCTCTACCCAGCTCCTCTCCCCTGTCCCCTCTCTCCTCTTCCCTCTCCTGTTTCCCTCTCTCCTTTCTTCCCTCTCCTGCTCCCTCTCTCCTCTCTTTCCTCTCCTCTTCCCTCTCTCCTCTCTCCTGTCCCCTCTCTCATGTTCCCTCTTCCCTCTCCTCTTCCCTCTTCCCTCTCTCCCTCTCTCCTGTTCCCTCTCTCTCCTCCCTGTGGATCCGCTCAGATTGCCAGTGCCAGGAAACCACTGCTGCATGTGTTTCCCTGGGGAGCCCAAATTCCCAGGGAATGAGGCGTCACTTAGCCCAAAAGACACACTTCTGTTTTCCTCTCCCATCCCTCCTCTGTCTCCAAACTCTGCAAACACTTCAGTCCATGCAGCGGTGTGGTCTCAATTACTTTTCCCCTGGCCCAGAAGGGATAAATGCTGGTGTTATGACAGGACATTGAAAGGCTGTTCAGTATAGATTCGCTCTTGTCTTTTGTTTAAAGTTTTTTGGATGTCTTTTGGAGTTTGCATACCTCAACACAAAGGCTTTTTGGACTCCTGCCCCATTTGAACATGTTGGTGCATTTATACATCAGTTATCGATAATTGATTGTTGAAATATGGTCTTAGCCTCATGACTTTTTGCTACGTGAGTCTCTGAATATTACAATACAATAGCCATCTCAATATATTCATCAAAAATAAATATTACAATTAAATATTACCAATAAAGTATTTATATAAGATACGATACACTTTTGATCTCAAAATGAATACATTTACATTTCACATTTGGCACAGAATCACAGGGTGTGCACAAATACAAAAAGTGTGCAAACATGTCAAAAGGTTCAAATATATAGTCTCTTTTGTGCAAGATATATTATTTACAATTATTATATCATTTTGTATCTATTAAAAAATAATGACAATTTTAAGCATGCCCCTAGTGGTTTATTCATATGGCTTCTGTGTGCATAGTTTTCATTTTCCCGTCCTTCAAACCGTGCTATTTCAGTTTGGAGACAATTTCAGAATAAAAATACAAATTCTGTTTTAAATTAAACAAAAATTAAACAACATACTTTATTATTCCAAAAGTCCACCAGGCAAAAACAAACTCTACAGAAGGGTTATCTCAATATTCATATTCAAGAATGTACTGTATTTGCCATTTGCAATAAAACCACATTGGAAAAACTGTGCAAGACTACCCCAGGATCCACCAGACACCACAGCTCTTTCCACCATTTAATGTTTGTGTTGTGTATTCTGTTTTTAATAAGATCGGTTCGACCTTGGATCTGTCATTTTCTGTGCTAAATAATTGAATACTGTCCTTATAGGGTGTGGTCGACTCTCATCCGATTGCACATTTGCATTCACTGAAAATATTGACTGTTGCGCCAAAGCATGCCTCTAACATTCTTCCCATTTTGCTCAAACCACATCTTTTCATAATTTGTCACTCATGTTGATTTTTGCTATCCGTTTCGTCTACTTTATTTATCTGTTCACATGCATTTAATCTCTCCCAATTTAATTTGTGTTTGACTTCCGCGGCTTGTAGGAGAGAGGCGTCTGTCAGAGCGTGATAACTCAATCTCAGGGCGAGTTTGGCACAGAGCAGTCATTTGGAAAGTGAAGCAGATCCAGTCTGAGGAGGAACTGTCGCTGCCTGTTAATGCTGGCTAAGGCAGCAGCAGTGGGGCTCACGCTCAAGCGAAAGGATTCAGGAAAAGGATGTGATGGATATTTCTAGGGAACTTGCGTGCATTTTCAATTTGATAAGATAAAACAAAACTTTATTGATCTCACAGTGGAAAAAATTGTATGTGGCATTTGGCATAAATAGGATCACTCAAGGTGTGCAAAAGACAGGAAATATGCTAAAATATTAAAGTGAAAAGATATTGAGTATGTTATGTGCGATAAAGGTATTTTAAGTACTATTTAAAACGTGACTATAGCAGTGCAAAGTTACAGTTCTTGTGTAGGTCGTCATAGATTCTTTAGTGTTTCAATCAAAGACCTTTTTTGAAGCTGTGGTGACCAATCCTTTCAAACCACAAAAAATACTATGTAGTTCAAACCATCTAACATTATTTTTTGGTCATTGATTTGCAAGATGAAAAAGGGTTGACAAACGGAAAGCAACAATTTTAGCGACTGACAGGATTAAGGCTGAAGTTTATTTTTGCCTAACCCTATGAACAAAGTCGTTTCTTGCTATCAAAACAGTTTGGCTCTCTAGTTAGTTTTCATGTGCATGTATTTTTTGGGAAAACATAACATTGAAAAGAGCGGACAACCCTCATTCAGTCAATCTGCAACTTACCAATCTCTTTCAAGACCGTCCTGGCGACAACAGCCTCACAGGCACAGACATTGTGCTGATACGTCCCATAGTTTTGGTGTGTAGACCCCACGGCAATATTGCCTGAAAGAAATTGACGAGATTATAAAAATGAAAATCCCTCTGCTTTCTAGACCCTGGCAGTGGTGGCAGCTGGCATGTAGAGAATGTTGCATGGTTGAGGTGGTGATGACGAGGAGGAAGGTTTCGGCACGAGCTGAAAGCTGAAACTTGATGCTGTTTACATGCAGTCAGGTGAAAGGCGCTTGTCTGATTGGCAGAGGCTAGAGTGTGAAGTGGGAGGAGGACTGGCGTAAAGGCAGGTCAAACAGTGACAAGAATTATTCCAGAGACGAGAATGAATCCAGTTTTCCAGACTGGACTTTTGCTAATAGCTCCAGTGAGCTTAGTGCAGATTTGTGGCGTGGCAGCCCAGTCGCACCACCAATAAATATATCTTATCTTGATGAATTGAACCAGGATTACACTGTTACAAATCTTTTCAACAAATTGCACTGCAGACGCTGATGTTTCAAGTTACAATGAAAGTAAAAGCCCTTACTCTTCGTAAACGTTTGACGATTGTATGTGGTAGCGTTTTCTTCAAGGTCACGTTGAGTCTTCTAGTGTCCTCTTCTTATCGCCACTCCATCCCTGTATCACTGTGGACAGAAAATAGACCAGTGCCATAACTCTGGAACCTTTATCTGATCCTTCACGCTTAAAATACACAGACACGTACTTAAGTTTGTTCCCATAACAACCCAACCTGGCAACCTAACTCTTACTTTTGTTAATTGTTCTTTATACCTCTTCCCCCTCGCCCACTTTTTTCTCCCTCTCTGTTCCTTGAAGGCCTGCAATTTAATAACCTCAAGTGCTGTCAGAAGAGGCATTGAAAAATGGCTTCTATAAAACATAACGGCCTTAATCAGAGTGTGCTGTGGATCTCCCCCTCCCGAGCCACTTCCTCCTCCTTTCTCCCCTGCTTCCCCCAGTCCCCGCCTCTAATGAATTAATGTTGAAATATGCAGGGACTCAGTAGTCATTAGATGCGCACCGTTGAGATGTGATTTAAGATGGCCGTTTTTATGTGTCTGTAGACAGAGATGGGATGGGACTGGCTCAGATCAACAGGCAACGTTCTGATTGACCAAAAGAAAAGACACTTTTCTAACTTGCACAATCCTACAAATATGGCACAGTTTGTCTGGCAGCATGAAATATTATGGGAATGTTTTTGAGGGACAAAGTAAGTAAGTAAGTAATTAATCTTTATTTATATACCGCCTTTTCACTGCAGATCTGAGTCTCAAAGTGGTTTACAATTGTTAATTTTGGGCATTTGTCTCTCACTCCACACATAGATGGGAGCGGGGTCGCCAGTACAGGAGGCGCATGCCAGACCTATTGTACATATTTTTAGTGGTAGGGGAAACCGGAGTACCCGGAGGAAACCTACGCAGACACGGGGAGAACATGCAAACTCCACTCAGAAAGTCCCTGGTTCGACCGGGATTCGAACCCAGGATCTTCTTGCAGAGAAGCGAGAGTGCTATCCACTCAGCCACCGTGCCGCTGATGCTATGCAATATTTTTGGTCACCTTCTAAAATTCTTATTTTATCATCATTTTATCCTTATATAATGGATTAAATTTGTATGAGCTATATTTCTGGTCTGTCTTTTCTATCCCATGTTAGTGTTAAAGATTAAACTGTTTCTAGAAGAAAGTAGATCTGTCAAACTCCATCCAACAACATATACCATTAATGTTTTTTCCATTAGCATGAGCTTAAGAATGAATTCATCAGAGGGAAAAGAATGAAGTGATACCCAGCCATCAATCATTCAGATCTCATCCAAACATTTCAACTAGTGACTCCTTCATGCAGACATGGTGTTGCTGTCTACTTTTTATCCCAACGTTGTTTTTACAATATAGTTTTTGTATGGAAATAAATAGTTTGGTAGTAATATAAAAATAAAAGAAAATACCATGATGATTCCAAATTCATCTCTCTTCAGCTCTTATGTTATTTTCATGAACACGTTTCTTCATAGTCTGGACTGCATTCATATATTAAGGTGATTTCTCTGTTTTTGCAGTCAACACATCTTGCTTCTCTTCAGGATGTGGTGTTGGTTTTATCAGGGAGTTGTACAGTGTTTTAAAATCTATTAGCTTCAAAGATTCTTCAAATGTGCGCTTTAAAACGAAGCATCAAAGTGAAGACGCTGTAACTTTTCTGAACATTTTTGACAATGTTTCATTACCGGCAGGCAGGTCTATAATCCATTTCCTCTGAGACTTCTTCTTAAGTCGGGATCACACAATTATGAGAGCTCTCATTCTGACGCTTCGACGGGAAATTAATTAATAAATAAACACTGCATTTTTACATTCATCAACATGCGGTAAGAATAGCTCTAATTATCACAGGTGAATTAACACTTTCATTTTTGTGTCAAAAAATTAATTGTATCCCTTAACAGCTATTCCCAGGAGGAGCAAAGAAAGAGGATGGGGAAGGTAAAAAGCAGAGGAAACACAACAGCGCGGACCACCAGGAGTGCTAATTGCTGCTTTCAAAGCCTTGCGTCAGTGTTCACGCTTTTGTGTGAGTGTCCCACAGAGAAAACCCATAGGTACGACCCTGTTACACGCACACCCATGTCAAGTCCTGATCCGCCAGTCCCACCAGCCAACTTCTCTTTGTCTTCACTTAACCAGGCTGCATTTAGATCAGTGACAGTCGGAGGTGAGCCGCTTTGATTCGGTGAATTACATTTACAACTGCATTTCATTAAGAAAGGCATGGAAAAATTACTTTTCTTTTTTCAAGGAAACTTTAGAGAGTTACTCAATGATTTACAAAAATAAGATAGAAAACATTCAAATCAAAAACAGAAAATAACAAATATACGTGTTTGTTTAGCTGTGCACACAACTTGTTTATAATGTACAAAGATTGTTTTAACCCAGACATGAG